CATTTATGAAGGGATTCAGGAAACCGGCAGGCCGGACTTGAGTCCTGGAGATGGGAAGTACAGTGCCTGCACTCTGAAGGAGGGGTGTTAATGTTGCAGTTTAAAAACTGTAGTGTAAAGCACCCTTCTGGCAAGACAGTGATGGAGTGAATGATGGTGAAAGTTTTTCTTTTTCGGGCCACCCTGCCTTGGTGGGAATCGGCCGGTGTGATAATAAAAAAAATAAAATATATATATATATATATATATATATATATATATATATATATATATATATATATATATATATATATATGTATATTATATATATATATATATATATATATATATATATATATATATATATATATTATATATATATATTATATATATATATATATTATATATATATATATATATATATATATATATATAAAAGTTTAGTTGGATATTTATCAAGAGTCCTAAAGCACCAAGATTACTCGCTAGAGAAGCTAACATTATGTAGGTAACAGTGGTGCTGCACTGTAGCTATTTCACTGTACCTACAACGAGGGGTGCTGCACTGTACGTGCTTCATTGTACGTACAAGCAGTGGTACTGCTGTGTACGAGTTTTCTTTCCCATCACTGTGGTCATTTTAGTGAACAGTTTCCACAGTTATTATCCTCAGCATTATTCGTTCAGTTATAATTGCGATTGGATTTACTTGATGGTGGCGATGGGCTCTTGATTTAAGAAATTAGAGCTAGCCCCTCTCTTCCTCGGATCAAACATTATTGTCTGCTATTCCCCTGCGTTGTATTATGCGTACGGGTTTAGTTTTCGTCAATAATAAAAATTATTATTATTATTATTATTATTATTATTATTATTATTATTATTATATTATTATTATTATTATTGTCACAGGAGCTGTCACGTTCAACATGATCATGTATTCGAATTCTATTTTAAACTCAGTTTATATATACTGAAAATACACATCTTGCTAAATACATATTTATTTTTATTTTATTTCTAATCATCTTACTTTGTGTCTCATAATTTTTGTAAATAGTTAAGTACATATTAGTTGATTGATCACTACATTTAATACAATTATCAGTGTGAGAATTTTGTATTATTATCATTACGATTATAAATATTATAAATGTCAGACATTATTTTCGAAGTGAATTATACCAGGAAGTATAACACTATCCTGGTGGTTTTTGACATCTGTGGGTGTTTCACTCACCATAGACTGGCTAATTAAAAATTTAGGCTGTCCGCTGCTAGGCCACAAACCAAGGTTCAACTTATTTATTTACATATTTTATTTCAATATTAACATAACACCCAATCATATACAAGCACATTATCTTGAACTTTGTTTCACAACAATGGGGAGACGGAAGTGAGAGTGGATCATTGTTCATATGGGACCTATCCTGACTTTTATTAAATGATGGGTGTCCTACAGATACAGCAAATGAACTCATCCAGGAAGAACGGGATACATTTCAATGTGTTATAAAACATTCATGCGGTGAGAAGTACTCACGATACTTCAGGAGTTTGGGAACTGGGCAGAACTTATCGTTATGCTGTTATCACTCTTCAAGGTCTAAAAATTGCAAATAAATCTACGTTTCCTTTTTAGAATACGTAAATATCTTAATAAAGAAGCAAGACCAATTATTTGACTGCTATGGCGCCGATATTATGTCAAAACTGTACCATATATAGTAGTTCAGTCACCAAGAAAAAAGTGAGTATCAATTATTTGTAACGTATGAATGATAAGCATTGAATTTTAAATACGTAATCTGCCTGTATCTAACCTAGGAAGCTGCCTCCGAGCGTCCACCTTAGGATTTATTATTATAATCAAGGGGGAATGCTAAACCCGGAGGATTATACAGCGCCTGGGGGGGGGGGTGGAAGGCATTCAGGCTTAATTTCGGGAACTGGAGCACAGATCCAATTCCCTAAATCAAGAGCCCCTCACCAACATCAAGGAACCTTCCTTGAGGGGTCCACCTTAGGAGCTTCATCATGTTTTGTTTATTTATTAGGTAAAATCTACAGACACATTCTTCTTCTTCTTATGACCAGAGCTTTGGTAAGATGGGTAAGGAAGAAGGATGGGTAAGGATAGAAATATTGGAAAAGGGTGGGAGGGGGGAGTGAGGTAGGATATAAAAGGTAAGTGACACAACCACTTTGGTGCAATTTAAAAAGTGTATGTGTAATAATAGAAAATTCTTGAAGGGGTATAATACTAACCCATCAGAGTCACATAGATATAACAGATATATAGGTACATGACTCTGAATTGGTAGTAGATATACAAATTGCAATTGCTTTTTTTTTCAGACACATGACGGCACCGGAAGGGTACCATGTCTAAGGAGCCCATGTATGAAGGTTGAGCCATGGAACAGCAACAGCTGGCTTACCTATATTGAAATTAATTGCCCAAGTGAAAAATTTCACTGAAAACGAGAAAATTTGTGCAGAGGTTAACCAAAAAATGAATAAGGACACATTGGGAGCAATCAGAATAATTACAAAAGACGACACAGTTGTTCCCAAGGCCACAGCTCAAGCACTAAGAGACAATAACCCAACCAGGGAGACCAGAGTCTTTAAGAACCCTTATGATCCCATCACCGGACAGTTAATTTTGGCAAAATAAAGCGATAGCGTCATTTCCAGCAGGATCTCCAGGAGTTTACACAACACATCAAAGAGATGGTAAATCCAATGCTTGGCACAGCTGTATCATTTCTCCTTTCTGAGTTAACAACCTTCGTCAACAACTATCTGGAGGGACGGATTAATGAAGAAATTAAACCTTTCTTTTTCGGAGCCTCATTATGTGCTTTGAAGAAGGAGAAGCAGTGAGAAACATTCGCACACAAGCCGCCAGCTTAATCCAGCCAAACCAATTAGGCTTTGGGGTTTCTCAAGGTAGTGAAGCGGCAGCTCATGCAGCAAGGGCCTACATCTGAGACTTACCAGAAGACAAGGCCATAGTCAAACGAGACTTTAGTAATGCATTTATTATGGTGAAAAGAGACGTGGTCTTGTTAGATGTTAAAGAGCAGTTCCCCAGTCTTTTTCTCTTTATTTCAGCTGGCTACAGCAAAAGTTCATTTTATTTTATTTGGCGAGCATGAAATACCCTCATCAGAGGGGGCTCAGTAGGGTGACCCACTCTTTCTCTTCTGCTTGGCGGTAAGAGAACTAACTTTCAGCTTATGCAGCGAACTCAACATGTACCTGGATGACGGCACTATGGCAGGTACGGAAGTCTCTGTTAGAGGACCTACAGCTGGTGAAGTCACAGGGGTAAGCTTTAGGATTCATTCTCAATCCCTCCAAGTGTGAAATCATCACAACAAACCAAGAAATAATTACAGCTGTGCGAACAATCCTTTCTGAATCCTCATCTACAACCCCACCCAAAAGCATCTTATTGGGAGCACCACTGGGTCATCAGGCTATCGATAGAGTCCTCAAGGACAAACTGAATGACCTGAAGAGGATGCAGGAGAGAATAAGTGATATAGATGCCCATGACGCCCTATATCCAGCTGCAATGATCAGTGGGTAAAAAACAAGTGGGTCGTGATTTTCAGTACGTTGTACTAGAAGGGTTGGAACTGTTTACATGATTTTCAGAAATATTCAATGAGTCATTTCCATAAGCTAGTGGAAAAATTATTTGCATTTTTCAGCAGGTTTTATGGTTTTCTTTATAGTTTCCTGAATTAGAATAACAATCAATTGTAGCACATTCTGCTCAATGAGCAAAGGATCTGAAAGCATTCTGGATACTCAGTTACTAACACGTTTACAAATTGGTGCTTGAACTACAATGAAGTCCTGTTACATTCCTGAAGTTGATAAGAATATTTTATAATCTTTGAATATGCTCACTGTACACATAGATGACTTAATCATTATGTCTTACTGTGCATCATCACATCTTGTAATGTCTATGATGGTACTGAATAAATTTGTAGAGGCAAATCTCACAATGATAAAAAGAAATCACGTGTTATGAGGTCAAGGAACAAAATAGTCTTGTTGATCGAGACAGTATTCCTTAGAAAAGATGTTAATGTTGTTGACGCATGCCTAGGTGACTGGGAAGAAAACAGAATTTTAAGCATCTAGACGTATGATAGAAAATTAATTACGAGGTATTGGTGGTTTGAGCAAATGAGCATTTTAATTCTTGGGAATCACTCATTTGTATCTTATATTCATTAATGATTGTTGATTAGTTGGGACGTTTATTATTTTTCTGTAACTCAGCTCTCATGAAATCCTTGCAGCTTCCTTGTAGACAGGAATAGATTTTAGGCTATTTTGCATTTCAAAATTTTTATTTGGTAGGTGGTACTTTCCCTCTGTAGGTTTTTTTTATGTTGTCGCACAACGTTTTTAAAGATCTATTTAAACTGAAGTATTGGGACACCACAGTTCTTACAAGCTCGTTCTTCTCCCGCCCAGATTTCACTGGATCTAGGTCTGGAGATTCCTTATTCAGAACAACCTTCAATATGCATAACTGAAAATTATCCTATAGCCCTTGTGGTTTAGCGCTTCTTTTTTATTATAATAATAATGAAAATGATTCCTGTTCGCGCTTTCGTCGCATGTTCATTGTATCTTATGTGAGATTTGCTATATATGTCTTGTTGGTAGAGTTATTTAAATGTAATATATGAAGAGTGTATACGCAAGTATCGTTATATTATTCCTCGGAGTAGCTAAACATTTTTCTACTGACGTACGTACAACTAAATTTAATCACAAGATGACATCAGTTGCCTATTTTGTTATTTCCAAATTTGTGGAGTGTGTCATTCTAAACAGAGGATATACAGGTCATTTATACAGTGTACTGCACTTCGAGGGAAACATTACAGCACTTCACTGTTCTCAGTTATTATATAATTTCACTCTGTATTAGGATATTCTAGCTTTTTATAAATATTGCTAGGCAAGAATAAAACGAAGTAAAGGTATTAAATAGTTTAGTATTTTCCGTTATAGGTGTTTTATGAAAGTTATCTAATAGGAACAAGTCGCTATTTAATTACCACAGAAGTGATGAATAAGTGGTACTATGTATAATTATTATCCACACGTACACGTAGGCTAAGAATGTATAATTTGTCTGCATAATCTTATAGAAGTCAACTGATATACTAGGTGAGAGGTTGAGATCATGAAATAGTGAATCAAGACAAAAATTTTTGTCTTCGTTATTCAGGGGAAATTTTTTTTCGATGATGGAATCTTGCTGCATCTTGCATTATACTAGTACAGGATAGTCTGGATCGCTTTGGCAGGTATATTGAAATTAAGGAAATTTTCAGACCCATCTGTCACGGTCAACCCTTCTTCCACATCATTCCTGTAATCAGATAATGTACAAGTAATGTATAAGTTATAAGTATCCTGATCTACAACAGTAACTTTCTCGATCCATTAACATGTAAGCATATGGATAAATAAGATTATTATTATGAAGCAAAATGAATTACATTTTGTATGAGGAAAGTGAGTTAAAATCTTGTAGTGTTAGAAATCCTAAACATCACCTACGACACCCTGACTAGTGGATTTTCGAGAACTGCTGGTGGACAGTTTTAGGTAGAATTATCGATATAAGAATAGTTACATAATCATGAAGAAACACTGCAGTAGGTCTACTGACCCATGCTTGGCAGTTCAAACTTACACCCAGCCATACCCACTAATATACCCGTCCAACATATTTTTAAAGCTACCCAGTTCTCGCCTTAATAACGCTACCTGAACATTTGTTTCACTCAGCTGGGCAACATAATCTAAACAAAGTTTAACCAAAGATAAAGTTATACTCTTGATATAAAGATATGAATTCTAGTAGCTGTTGCACTGTTGTCTTGGCTTCAAATCTCTGCTAATAAGAGCTCCTTAGTAATTTTTGCATTCAGTGCCATAGTTTTTTTTATAAGTTCCAGTGTTTTCTTGTCCTAGGATTAGAATCTTACATTTGTCCGTATTGTACTGCATCTGCCACCTCTCCGACCACAACATCAACCTATCCAGGTTATCCTGTAATTTTCTATTCATCAGAAATTCTTTGACGGCTTATTTTAATGTCATCTGCAAATTTACTTATGCTACTATTTATTCCCTCATTTATGTCGTTTAGGTAGATTGTGAACAAGGGTCTCAGTAATGACCTCCGTGGCACACTACTCGTTGAAAGTCCCTACTCTGATTTCTCATTATTTATGCAAACTCTCTGTTGTGTATCAGTCAGTCAATACTCAAACCACGCGATCAATTCTTTTATACCATGTGCCTCTACTTTCATCATCACTCTGCTGTGTGGATCGCTCTCAAAGTCTGGCGAAAATTCCACATAACCTCATGACTGTCGCACACTAGAAAAAAATAGCTAAAATTCAATTTGTACACCAAGTGTTTGTTACTTACGTGTTGAGAATAACGACGACGGTGCGGCCTGACGGGTCATTGAAGGCAGCCACCTCAATGTTAGTCGCTGTGGTCGTCCAAGTGATACGCTCAGCACCAGGGATCACGAACTTGCTCAAGTGACCAATAGTGTAGAACATTGGCTGCTTGTAAAACTCGTTCGCTTCCTGTACAGGTGAAATATACAATGCTGTGAATCACTGAACCTAGTTTTTGTTTTTGTCTGCAGTATTAGAATTATTGACTGATTTAATCTTTCAAGGGGAATGCCTAGATGCTGGTGAAGGCCTCTTGATCCAAGAAATTCGAGCTACCCTCCTTTTCCTCGGATTGTCCCCCCATTTCCCAGGCACTACATGACTTTTGCAGTTTTAGCGCTTTCCCTGAGTTCGCTAATGATAACAACTGAAAACTTATTTAAACTATATTAGCCTCGTGCAAATTCGATACTTGTGTTTTGTTTTTGAATAAAATCTATGATAGTTATTCAAGCTTATTCCCTGTATGAGGGGTGCCTTGATGACGGTGAAAGGTTCTTGATCCAAGGAATTGTAGCTGTTCTACCAGCCCTCTGATCAAGCTTGTTTCCTTCACATGATATTTGAAACATACGAATTTATAGTTTCTCAATGAATATAACAATAACATAATCTTAATCTGTCACAGTTATCATTACCTCATGGTGTACATTAAAAATTATTATATCTGATTTAAAATAAGGACTGTTTTGAATAAAAGGACGCATGTGAATATTACTGACAGTATCGACGATGACGGGAGAGTCGAGGAAATTGTTAGCCCAGTTGGGTCCTCCCAGAATGTCCAGAGCCATGTTCCAGTCCACCCAGCCCGTGGAGTAGTGGTTCACTGCCTGCAATGTGTATACGTCCAGTATGATTCCTCAATCCTCTTTCATTTTACATAAATCCAGAAAAAAAAATCGCAAATTAAAGGAGCAGGCTTGGAATAAACATATTTTTGTCTTCAAATTTAGTATGCTAAAGTGTTAGAAAGTTGAAATATTCAGAACACATGTGCAACACTTTTGATAAGTAAAGGTTCATTTAACAACCATAAATATTTTGAATGTGTAATTAAGAATAAAACACTAATTTTTAGATGTCCAAGTGACAGGTTAACTGGGTCTTACATCAAGCATGTAGTGGACGTACTCCTCACCACGCTGCCATGAACCAAGGTTCACGCTTAATTCTGAACCCTCAACCTCATTGCCTGAAGAAAACAGATTAGTCATGCACATTTTAAACAGTAATTAACTTGCTAATGACAGAGGTATATTCTTATAAAAATAAATGTAATTCATATTTAAGTAATGTTTGTTAGATTCAAAGCCAATTTCCATCGGAGACACTAACAATGAGCCTGCTTTAATATCCTAAGATAAAGTCAGTTCTTAGTGGCACAAGGGAGAACTGCATGTTTCAGCCTACAACTTAATCTCCGGATACATTATTATATATATATATATATATATATATTATATATATATATATATATTTATATATATATATATAATATATATAATATATATAATATATATATATATATATTAATAATATATATAATATATATATATATATATATATATATATATATATATATATATATATATTATATATATATATATATATATATATTATATATATATATACAAAACAACCACTGTGAAAAAATAATGAAATTCCAAGCGCTTTTGTAACTACTCACGTTATCAAAGAATAAAAGTAATGCATCAAAGGAAGACATATAAAGGGTCTAGGCCACACCTCACCATCACATCCCACAACAAAGCAACACCTGATGCGCGACTCCTAAAAAGAGAACACTGCAGCAGGCCCACTGGCCCAACTGGACAGGTCCTTCACGCAACCCACAAAACATTCTACCTATGAATTAAGATTTAATTCTTGGGGTACATTCATGTTAGTGAAATTCTCTTTGCAGAAGCAACTGAAGGTGTTCTTTTCTTTCTGGGATCAAACCTAATTACCTCCCGGCTCTGAAATTGCTCACGTGAAGAAAACAATAATTACCCTACACATTTTTTCCCATAAATACAAACCCTTCTTTACTTTAGTTATATGCATTCTAAGTTTTCTGATTACCTTGACAGGCTTCTGTGTAAAGAAGGAATGATTCTGGAGACAGAGCTTGCGTCTCATCAAGAACTTCTGGGGGAATTATATGATCTGAGTACCAGTGGACACCTATTCCATCGACGTACTGGGCACATTCTGGGTCATTGAGCATCTGCAGGAACAGTGTTAGTGAGTCAATAAAAACACTAACAATGACAATGAAAGTAGAGAGGCTATAATTTCCAAAGAAAATAATATTTAACTGAAGTAGTAGCAGATTGCATTGTTAGGCCTTAGAGGAACACAAGTAAATATGCGTGATGTTCTAAGATCAGTTATTGCAATGAATGTAAATACAAACTCAAAGATAAAACAGATTTTACAATAATCAATATGTTGTACAGGAAGGATTCGAACTATTTACATGATTCCCAGAATTGTTAAAATGTATTTTTTTTCATTACCTAGTGGGAATTATACTCATTTTTTTCAGTAGCGTTTACCACCTTTTATAGTTTCCTGAGTTTGAATAACAGTAAGAACTGTAAAATGTGATGGATTTTTTTTTATCAAAGCCTAATCAATTCTGGCAAATTCTGCACAACGACCGACGTATCAGACAGCATTCTCACTCCCCAGTTTTGCAGATTGTCTTTCAGATTGTGAAGCAGTCCAATTACATTGTCGAGAGTGATGACTACGGTAGTTCATATTCGTTTAGGTAATATGCTCATGGTCTATGAAAAAAAAATTCTCATGTGATATTAACCGTGATTAAAAAAAATCACATTAAAAGTTCAACGAGTGAAACATTCGTCCGAATCAAGACAGTATTTCGTATAAAAGACGTTAAAATTCTTGATGCGTGCCCAGGTGATTGGAAATCGACCAACGATATAAGTATCTGAAGCCTTTTAGTAAGTTAGAAGTTAATTCCAGTATAAGGGGGCTTAAATTCTCGGATGTCATTTTCAGTAAATAGTACATAACGAATGCCTCTTTAAGGAGGCTATTTGAGTTGAAAGGAATGATAGAGGTTACGAATGCGTTTGTGAGAAGTTTCTAAGGGAGGCGAGAGCACAGTTTTTTGTAAAACATTATGTTTCAAAGTACATCATAAAATGGAACAACAGTTTTGATGACTAATAAGCTAGAACTGGAATGTGCACATGAGAACTTACTGGCTCGACGTACCAAGGCAACGAGTCTCTGTTGAAGTCATGTATCATCATTTTGAGGTGACGGTAGCCAGCAGCCTCCAGTGTGGGTCCCAGGTAACCTTTGAGCCAATCTCGCATTGATTCAGCCGACCATCCAATAGCATTAATTTTCCACTGCCGTCAAAACAAATGCAGTTAATATCATAAAACTTACTTTGTTGTTGTTTGCAAGAACACTTTAAAGGGTATATAATACAGTCGTCAATGAGAAATAATGCAACAAAAACTTACGTCAGTAAGGCCACCGAGAGGTTCATTCTGTGGAGTGAGACCCCATAGTTCAACTCCCTCAGCTTCGTAAGCTTCCACAAACCTAACGTAGAGCAAATTTAACGTAAAGACATCAAGTATTTACAAAATATTTGTATATTTTATTCTGATATTTAGTAAACACCCTTGTATGTGCATTTTCATCAAACCTAAATTGATTTATCAAATGGATATTAGCATTTGTGGATTTTCTTTCTAAAGAATACTGGTACACATTCTTGTATCGTCTTCATAAAGCATATGAGCAGTTTGGACATTCCTTCACTAGGCATATGACACATCACAAGATAAAAATATTTTTAATTTTATGAGGAATTAATAGGTAATGGACTATTTGAATTATGAGAAACAGGAATAAAGAGAAACATGTGGAAGCTGAAGACACAGTAGAATTATTAGGATGTTATGAAATACTTCTTTGGTGGTAATAAAATGGAAAAAGATGGATGAAGAAGTAGAGGCAAATTCATTGCACGGTTGCAGAGGTAGGTACGATAATGTCTAAGAAACCCCAAATACAGGTGAAAAAATAGTTTAAGACTCAGGAGTGCGACCTGACTTTTGTAAATATGCATATTAAGCAATCAATCAGAGAAGACTATTGGGTTTAGGGTGCATGTTTTCTGGCAAATTTAACCTGGCTGTTGTGTAGTATGTTGACTAGTATCGTAGTTGCTTTGCAGGTAGCAGAGCGAGTGACTTATTGGGGTTCTGTGCACTAGGTCAAGTGTGTTAAATGAGCCAAGTCCATGAGAAAGGGAGGTGTGAGCAGCTAGGTCAGCAGGTCAATGAGAAATGGCCTTTATAGTCGTTTGCTAAGATGCTCTCAGCGCGGGGACTTCAAGCGCAAACGTAATGGAAGAAGCATGCTTGGAAGGGAATAAAAAACGCTACTGAGGGCTTACAAGACGAATTGTTCTAATTTTTTTTAAATCTTGTGCACTGAAAAGTATACTTTTTGTTTATTAACATGAAATAAAATGTTTGTATTTTGCATGAAGGCTAACTTAGCGACCTAACCTAATCCTTTCACAATTAACAAAATACAATTTAGCTTAATTGCACCTAACTTAACTTAGGTGAGACTAAATTTGGTAGTAGTATTTAAAAATCAAATTCTGAAAGTCACTCAGCTAGCACCCACCACTGTCAACTCCCTCTCTCTACTTCCAGAGAAGAGAAAAATGCATTTATCAACTTCTAAAGTTCTTAAATGCATTGTGTGCGCACACCTCGCCAATGTAGCCACCTCAGGTTCCTCCAACGCTACAATCAACTAGTTATTCCGCCTCAGCAGTATGCCAAGCTTCAAGTTTCCTGACTCTCTACCTCCTACCGACATTCTGAAAATCATTCCTAACGTTAACTTCACTGCCCCAGCTGACCTGACATCTGCTGCCTAATCTACTGCTTCTTAACTTACTCCAGCTGCCTAGAAGCCCTCTACCACTGGAACCACCTCAATACAGCTAACCACTGCCTTCCAAATCTTCAATATTACTTCTCACACAAAGCCAGCCGTCAAGCCATTACCCAAGGACCCCAATGTTCCAGCCCAGCCACGGCCATTATCTCACCCCTTTCAACTTTCTCCTGCACTACAAGCCGCCACCTCCAAGACCACGGAGACTTAACCTACTGAATCTTCTCAGGAAGAGGAAGAGGTAGACATCTACGAAAAAGGACTGGAATGAGACAACTTTGTTTTCTACACGTCTCTTACCTACAGTAGTTCCATGTTCTGCAAGAAACTGTACATAAGACTGTGAAGGCACAGTTAAATTCGCCAGTAAGCCACCGTACCTCCTCTCAACGTAACAAGTCCAGGTATACGTCAAGGTCAATATAACCCAACACAACCAACCCTGCTGAATTATCTCACCTCTCCAGATCAACCTTTAAGAAATTTAGAAACGGCTCTGCCACTGCACGCCCGCCTTAAGTGGAGACAGGCTGCATAGATAGGCGAATAACAATATATGAAGTCGTAGATAAATAACAAGGGCTTAGAGGAGCGTTCGTGAGCGATATGAGAGCAACAGGAACAGGTATCACTAACAGGCAGTCGTCCAGAGAAGGTCTTGACTAGGTGGGTCAGCAGGCAGAGTCACAGAAGAGAGCAACACAGTGTTGATTCTAGTGGTTGAGGTGGATTAAACACTGGCCCCTCGGGAAACATTCGTGGATTCCGATGAGTTTTTAAATAAGATGAAGTAGGAAGGCAACTACTAAAATATATGAATGACTACTTACTTAACGATATAATTGGCCCAGGGTTGCCAATACTCGGCTATCAGTATTCCTGACCCGTTGAACATGCCGTTAGTCTTCATCCAGGCTGGGGAGGACCAGGGCGAACCAAACATCTTCAGTGGATATGTCGTCATTTCTTTGGCTCGCAGGATCAGAGGAATCTGTGATTAAAATTTAAAAAAATTAAGTTATTTCTTTTAAATGATTATGAGTGTATAGTCAAGTACATAACTGTTTAAAAGAAGGTAAAATTGTGAACAGTTTTCCCTTTGTTCTGATATTATAGAAAGTTATACGATTATTTTTTGTGATATGAATGCAGGCTGTCTAATAATATTTATAATACATACTGAAATATTGTTTGTAATATAACCAAAATTTGGCTTTCTCAATCTCTATTTACTTATAGTCACAGATGGATTTTATTACGCCTTTTCAAAATACATTTGTTTTACGTGTTATTACCTTATAATCGTAGTCCTCAAAAGTGAGGTTCCAGTGTACAAGATCAGCGTCTCCTTCCACGTCATCATAGGAGTAGGTCCTGGTGGAGCAGTCACAGCCAGCGATGGGGATGCGACCAAAGGTATACCCGATTCCTTCAGGTGCGAAATACGATCTGCAGATTTTAACAATTATACAGTAAAATTGTATTTTAAATAGGTTACAGAAAACGACAGTTTTTTCCCGTTATGGAAAGACAAAGAAAACTATCTTTTGCCCCGAAGACAAGTCTAGACAGACTGGATATCACTGGCATCATAAGAGATTTGAGGTGGTATTTTCACAGAATGGTTGTTGAATAAAAAAAGATATAGTAATTGGATGTTTCATTAGATCATTAATAAGAAAAAAATATAGGTAGAAAAGAGCCTTACAAGACATCATAGATGAACAGAAGACTGAGAAATAAACAGAAGCCTAAACAATATTTTGTAATGGGAACTGATCCCTCCCAAGCCGGAAAACTAGCAACCTAAAGAGTAAAAAAATTTCCCATTGTCAGAATTGTGATGAAGGTTTCACCGTAATATCAAAGCTATATGACATACTTATATGAGGTAAGTGTAATTTATCATAAAACAGGCTCAGCGTCACCAGACTTGGAAGCTTGTCAGATAATGTCCCATTAAGTTGATAAGCAGCCGCTGGCTACCATCGAGTTAGATTTTTATCCTATTAAAAGATAATTGGCCCTCTTGGGAGTTCACAAATAGAAATAATTTTACTGAAATAATAGTAAATCTAAAATATTAATGTTCACTTTATTTGCATTTAAGGAATACCGATTTCTAGGTTTATTAAAGATATAATTTCTCTAGTTAATAAATATTGAATGTCATTTACTCTCCTACAGAATAAAAAAAATTAAGCACTTGTCACTAAAGAACTATAGGAGTCACCTTCAAGACAGACTGAACATTCTTGAGCAGTATGAGGCATATGGGTATGGTGCTTTCTCGACTATAATAATGATGAATATATCTGAAAACTTTTGCTAACGTCAGTATATCTCAGAGGGTTATCGTACATGTTCGTACTTCTGGTATTGGCCCTTAACACAGATCCCAGCAGATGTCTTTTAAATTATAGAACATTAGAATACTGTTTTCACGTCCTTACCTGAGGAAGTATTCCTGAACCTCGCTGGAGAGAGCAACCACATTGAGACCTGTGGAATCAGTGAAGGCGCCACCGAAGCCTAGCATGGTCTGGTAGACGTCATCCTTGTTCAGTGTCACCACCTCAGCATCTGCAGAACACAAGAATTAGTGCAGGAGCCTGAACTTGTTGCCATTTTAACACTTCTGAATTGCAGTTGGAATTCATCATATATGTACTTGAAAACTAACTTTTCTTAAAAATATTTTTGTTTTTCGTATTGCTATAAACAGTATTGGTTTTATGCTTTGAGCTCTTCGGATAGTAAAAAGAGAAATATTAAAATTTGCTAGTCATGTCAGGAAACTGTAAAGGCAACAGTAATAAGAGGTTAGTAAAAAGGACAGTTACTGAAAGTAAGATGTCGAGGCAGAAGAGTAGAGAGACGAGTTGCACTTACCGGGAGACGCTTCACTGGAGACAGGGAGAGTCTCCACGTTGAACCTGAGTCCATCCCTGCTGGAGGTGACGACGGTGAAGCTACCTTCATCAGGGAAGTCAATGACCCCTGGTTGGTCGCAGTGGGTCTCGTCGCAGACGCAAACCACACTGTCATATCCGAAACTGCGGGGGTTGCACTCTGAAGTAAACAATAAATAACAGTAATTATTAGTATTAGTATTAGTAGTAGTATTAGTAGTATTAGTAGTATTAGTAGTAGTAGTAGTAGCAGTAGTAGCAGTAGTAGCAGTAGTAGCAGTAGCAGTAGTAGTAGTAGTAGTAATAGTTGAAATAATAATACAGTCGCACGTGTCTCAGCTATAAAATGTGAAGCCATGTTTAATAGGAAAGTGTAATAGATGATCTGCCAAGAGTGAGACGTAATAAGCAAGGTACGTTGAGTTGCCAAATCACTACACTAACAAGTAATATTGGAGTTACGAAGCAAAGTTTAACCTTCACTAGGAGTGCCTTGATGTCAGTGAAGGGCTCCTGATCCGAGGAATTTAAGCTCCTTTCCCCTTCTTGAGCTTGAATCTGCTTGCCTCCGATTCCCTCAGGCACTGTATGAACCAAATGATTGTAGCTTGCCCCATAAGTGTTGCACAGAAGTAGTGTGATAAAAGGCATCCTAATTGGTACATTTGGAGTAAATCACACGGTCTTTCAAATACAGTCATCACATTGAAATATGAGAGAATATGTTGGTATCTTGGCGTTGAGGATGGAGCTCATCTATCTACTTAGAACATATTTAATTCACAAGTGGAGCAGTGGGGGGTGATAATGTGTCGGGACAGAGGTGATGACAATGTTGGGGGCACTGGTGGAAATGTGATGGTGTTGGGTCAGCAATGAAGGTAATGTGTTGGTAATAAGAGTGGCGGTGACAGACAGGGCTGTGCTGACGTACATAATTCATTACCTTGAGCTGCTACACAGCACAAGAGCGCCAACACTATCCCCAAAGTCCTCATGGCTAGCCGAGGAAGTTCTGCACCTTCCTTCTCCTGTTGCTGCAATACGACTCTGCTGCTGTACTGCTCTGCTGCTCACCTCAGACGCAGTATATATACACACACCCCTGACATTGTTGCCACGTGTATAGAATCTCCAAGGTTTTTCAGGAACGCTCGTCTGTGGCACTGTTCACAAGACAAAGTTGGATAGGTCCTTAGGATGCCTTGCTCACAATTGGCTCGAAATATCGTAGAATATTATGTCATGGTTGGGATAGATGGATACACAATCTGTTATTTGTAATCCATGACTGCTTTTGATTAACCTGATTAATTAATTAATTAATTAGGGAAATATAAATGTATAAATTCAAGAACTATGTGGATGAAAATAAGGGTCGGATGCAAAAAAAAAAAAGGGTTATAATAAGTGTTTATGCACATGAAGAGAAATGTAGTGGAGAGAGAGAGAGATTCTGGAAGATGTTAAGTGTCTAGGGAGTTTCGAAATAAGTGAGGGAATTTTGTTGTTAGGGACTTGAATGCAAAAGTGGGAGAAACTTTATATTGGGTGTGGTAGGTAAGCTTGGGGTGGCATGGGTAAATGATAGTGGAAGGGAGACGTCCTAGCAGAGGGTTGATGGTAAAGGAGGTTTTGTGTGCAAGAGTGCGTGAGCGTGTTAGATAGGAGCGATTGGAGGCAAATGGTTTTTGAAGACAAGACGTGCTACTGGAGTGTGAGCAACTTAACATTTATGAAGAGATTCAGGGAAACCGGTTAGACGGACTTGAGTCCTAGAAGTGGGAAGTACAGTGCCTGCCCTCTGAAGGAGGAGTGGAGATATATTGCAGTTTTTGAACTACAGTGTAGGCGGGCCTCTATAAAAAAAATATTGCAGTGAGTTATGATGAAAGCATTTCTTTTTCGGATTACCCTGTCAAAAAAAGGACGGTATTGGTCCTCGGTTAATCTTCCACTCACAATGGTCACAGAGTCAATAAAACCCACATGGGAACAATAAAACATATATATATATATATATATATATATATATATATATATATATATATATATATATATATATATATATATATATATACATATATATATATATATATATATATATATATATATATATATATATATATATATATATATATATATATATATATATATATATATATATATATATATATGCAATAAGATCACAGTAAACAGTTGATTTCAGAATATGCAAAACAACCACTGTGAAAAAATAGAGAAGTTCCAAGCGCTTTCGTGACTACTCACATTATCAAGGAACAATGAAAGTAAAGCATCAAAGGAAGGTATATAAAGGGGTTGCCCACACCTCACTATCAGATCCCACAACAACGAAACACCTGACGCGAGACAGCAGGCCCGCCGGCCGAACAAGACAGGTCCTTCATACAACCCACCAACAAACTATTCTATCCAAGAAATAAGAAATTTAAAAAATTATTATTTGTCGAATGTATTATTAAATTCTTCCCAAATTCTATTAATTATAAATGGATCTAATTTATATAAACCAAAAGAAATATTCATATTATTGTCAAAACTGCTTTTTATGAAACAAGAATCAATTATATTCCTGTCGACCATGGACTTGCTTGATACTACTTTCTCAACTTTTTGAAAATCAATTGGATGGTTAAAAGAAAATCAATTGGATGGTTAAAAGAGATTTTAACCATCCAATTGATTTTCAACTTTTTGAAAATCAATTGGATGGTTAAAAGAAAATCAATTGGATGGTTAAATGAGATTTTAACCATCCAATTGATTTTCAAAAAGTTGAGAAAGTAGTATCAAGCAAGTCCATGGTCGACAGGAATATAATTGATTCTTGTTTCATAAAAAGCAGTTTTGACAATAATATGAATATTTCCTTTGGTTTATATAAATTAGATCCATTTATAATTAATAGAATTTGGGAAGAATTTAATAATACATTGGACAAATAATATTTTTTTTAAATTTCTTATTTCTTGGGTAGAATAGTTTGTTGGTGGGTTGTATGAAAGACCTGTCTAGTTCGGCCGGCGGGCCTGCTGTCTCGCATCAGGTGTTTCGTTGTTGTGGGATCTGATAGTGAGGTGTGGGCTACCCCTTTATATACCTTCCTTTGATGCTTTACTTTCATTGTTCCTTGATAATGTGAGTAGTCACGAAAGCGCTTGGAACTTCTCTATTCTTTCACAGTGGTTGTTTTGCATATAGTATATATATATATATATATATATATATATATATATATATATATATATATATATATATATATATATATATATATATATATATATATATATAAAAACAACCATATATATATTTTGTGTGGGCTAGACCCTTTATATACCTTCCTTTGATGCTTTACTTTCATTGTTCCTTGATAATGTGAGTAGTCACGAAAGCGCTTGGAACTTCTCTATTCTTTCACAGTGGTTGTTTTGCATATAGTATATATATATATATATATATATATATATATATATATATATATATATATATATATATATATATATATATATATGTATGTATATATATATATATATATATATATATATATATATATATATATTATATATATATATATATATATATATATATATATATATATATATATATATATATATATTATATATATATATATATATATATATATATATATATATATATATATATATATATATACGTACTCTGCCGTAGCCTAACAAGTTATGCATTAGAAAGTACATTTTGAGGACAAGGAACGTGGCAAGAATCATCTAAAAGTTCAGTTGGATATTTATCAAGAGTCCTAAAGCATCAAGATTACTCGCTAGGGAAAGCAAAGATTATGTAGGTAACAGTGGTGCTACACTGTAAGTGCTTCATTGTACGTACAACCAGTGGTGCTGCTGTGTACGTGTTTCCTTCCCTGTGGTAGTTTAATTAACAATTTCTACAGTTATTATCCTCAGCATTATTCGTTGTTATTATTGCGATTAGATTTACTTGATGCTGGTGATGGGCTCTTGATCTAAGGAATTAGTGCTATCCCTTCCCCTCCTTAGATCAAACATTATTGTCTGCCATTCCCCTGCGCTGTATTATCCTTACGAGTTTAATCCTTGTCGATATTAATAATAATTATAATAATTTAGTAATTATTTTATTTATATAAATAATAATAATAATTATTATAATTTTAAAAGGTGTAATATAGTGTTGTCACAGGAGCCTATTTTAAACTCAGTGTATATATACTGAAAATACACATCTCGCTGTATACATATTTTTTTTATTTTAATTCTAATCATCTTACTTTGTGTCTCACAGTTTTTGTATATGTTTAAGTGCATATTAATTTTACCGGTCACTACATTTAATATAATTATCAATATGAGAATTTGGAATTATTATTATGATTATAAGTATTATAAATGTTGGACATTATTGATGTCTAATTTAAAATAAAAAAAAACATACAACTTTCGCAACAGCCACCGAAGATCTATATGTATCAATTCGATTTTTCCAAAATTTGATAGAGAAAATCTTACGAGATTCGTGAAAGATAACTCAGAAAAATTAGTTAAATTTACTTGAGCCATAAGGCATATCTGATTGGCAGAGACGTCACGAGTGTGAGAACCACTCAGGATAACTTACACAGATATGATACCTGATGGGAAGCTATTGTGGAAACTTAAGTTACAAAGTACGTCACTAAGTCGTCTTAGATGTGTGACAGCTGATAATACATAAGAAGCAGGAATGTCAAGGTCGGAGAGACGGTTCTAAATAAAATTCTCACGTATATTCCGGAAGCGGTGTTTCGTACCTAAACTGACCAGTGATGGGAAGACTCACACAAGTCTCGTCTCCAGGAAGTATAACACTATCCGAGTGGTTCTTGACATCTATTATTGTTTTACTCACCATAGTCTGGTTAAGTAACAATTTAGGTTGTCCGCTGCGAGGCCACAAATCCAAGTTCAACTTATTTATTTTTATATTTTATTTCAATAATAGCATAACACCCAATCATATACAAGCACATTATCCTGAACTTTCTTGTACAACAATGGGGAGACGGAAGTGGGAGTGGATCATTGTTCATATTGGACCTGTTCTGATTTTTATTAAATGATGGGTGTCCTGCAGATACAACAAATGAACCCATCCAGGAAGAATGAGATACATTAAAAAAGTGTTACGAAACACTCAAATGTTGAGAAGTACTCACGATACTTCAGGAGTTTGGGAACTGGGCAGAACTTATCGTGATGCCGATGTAAATGTTATCACTCTTCAAGGTCTAAAAATTGGAGAAAAGTTACATTTTCTTTTTAAAATACGCAAATAGCTTTATAAAAAAAAACTGTCAATTCAGTGGCTTTGATGGCGCTGGTATCATGTCAAAACTGTATCATATATAATAGTTCAATCACCAAGAAGAAAATGACTATTAGTTAAATGTAACTTATGAGTGATAAACACTGAATTTTAAATGATCTGCCTGTATCTAACCTAGGAAACTGCTTCCGAGCGTCCACCTTAGGAGTTTCATTATGTTTTATTGTTTATTCATTAGGTAAAATCAACTGACACAGGTGCCGGCCCCATGACGGCGCCGGAAAAGGACCATGTCTAAGGAGCACATATATGAAGGTTGAGCCATGGGAACAGCAACAGATGGCTTGCCTATACTGAAATCAATTGCCCGTGTGTCTAGTGGTCCGTGCAGCTAGCAATTATTAGGTATCCCCGAATGGATGCCTTCTAACAGTTGCCTGAATTCTTTTTCCTTTTTTTTTCTTCCTCCTGCTTTTAGACTTTATTTTTTCCCTCATAACTAGAGAATGCCTCACTCAATCGGCTCCAGACTTTCAAAATTGCAGTGAAATGTTACTATCAACTGTAGCGAAATATCATGATCAACTGACTTGAAAAGTATCGTCAGAACTCCTGGGATAGATTCAGTTAAGCATGGGTAGCACGGCTGCTTACCAGTTGTATACTGACAGTCTTTGTCAGTATGACTTTTCTTGATAATTGATTTCTTTCATAATAATCACTCCAGGTAATTTAAGCATGCCTGATGG